CTCCGCGCTCCGGGCGGCCGGCGAGGCGGCGGCTCAGGGCCCCGGCGGCCGAGGGGCCGGGAGGAGCGTGGCCCCGAGTTCTTGGCCCGTTACCCGCGGCGCGGAGCCTGCGTCTGGGAGGTCTGTGGATTCGCCTTTGAAGTCGAACTGTTGCCATGTTTGAATTACGTCAGGGCAAAGCCATGAGGAGGAACAAGCCCCGGCAGCGCGGCGTGCGGGAGGCGCGGCCTGCGGGAGGCGCCGGGCGGGCGGGCGGGCGGGCGCGGGGGCCCGTTGTTCCGGCGCAGGTGAGGGAGGCGGCGGCGAGGGACGCGGGCCGCCTCCTGCCGCCCTCGCCCGGGCGAGCAGCTTCCACAGGAACTTTCTGCCCGACCCAAGTTGTATTTACCAACAAACCCACCGGGGAGCGTTTCTATTTGCTGCCGCCGTGCCCCCCTCTCTCCCTCTCCCTCTCCCTCTCCCTCTCTCGCTCCCGGCCGTCACCGCGTGCCTGAGGGGAAAGCGCGTTTGAGGGATGGGGGTGGGGGCGGGGGCGGGGGCGGGGGCGGGGGGCGGCGAGGACCCGGGAGCTTCTTCGCTGCTTTCGCGGAAGCCGGTGCGTGCGGCGAGCGCCCCCGGCCCGTGGCCCGCGCGTCCGGGGGACGCGGCCCCGACGACACCCGAAAAAAAAAAAAAAAAAAGAAAACAACCCACCGTGGGGAAGTTTCGGGGCTCCCCGTTGTCCTACAAAGGGAAGTGAGGACTCGGCTGGATTGTGCGTGCCGCTGTTGTCTTTGTGTGTTTACGTGTGGGAGGGGGATCCGGGAGCGGGAGGCTGTTGAGGCTGCGGGTGGGGTTGGTTTCTCGGGGTGGCAGGGCGGGGCAGTTGGGTCGGGTACCTGGACCCAGTAGGGCTTCTTTGTGTTTATTTTCTCCGTCTAACCTTGGGTGACTTACTGGCGCTGGACGGACTCAGGAACGACTAGATGAGACCAATAGGGACCCTGTGCGAGACGGTTTCACCCCGGCAACAACCCCCCCCCAGCCCCCACTCCTCACGTCGTCCTGAGGAAGGTTAAAACAAAAAGCAAAAAACAAAAAAACAAAGCAAAACTTTTTTTTTCTTTCAATAGTTAAAATTCTGAATTTGACCTTGTCATTAAAAGTACACTGAAAGCACCTGTTTTTTGAACTGGAGTTGGCCAGACTCGAAAAGCCTCTTAATAATGTATGTCGCAAAACCGAACACGTTTATTTAGGTTGGTCGACCTAAATTAAATTAAAGCCTGGGAGTTTGTTTCTGGTGGAGTTGGGAGAAAAGCCTGATGGCATTTAAAGTATTTATATAATGATTTGGGAAGGGGGGAAAAAATCTCTCTTAACCCTAAAGGTATGCCTGGCTCAGTGTTTGGTGATTGCTCACAGCGTTATCTTAGGATGACCTTGAAGAAGCTAGCACGCCCGGAGTTGGGCCTTTCTTGGAGATTTTATATGGGGGGGTTGGGGAGGAAGCTGCTCAGGGGGATGACACGGTGAAAGGCTGGCTATCTCTGCTAGCTTCTTCCTAGTTCCTGTGAACTGGGGTTGACCTTCTGGTTACCCCTCTTAGATTTTCTTTTCAAGCCAATCTCTCTTTTTTTTTTTTTTTTTGTTATGTGGCCCCAGGCATAGCTCAAAAATTATGCTGGTTTGACACATGGATGCTTCTTTGGTATTTGGGGTTTGCCTGCAGTCTAGACAACCGATAAGCAGCACCGTCTCTGCTGCTGCTGCTTTCCTGATTTCTGATGCATTTGGATCATGTTTCAGAATCTGAAAGTGATCGTTACCAAAAAATAATATCCATAGGTGCCACACCCAAACAAAAAAAACTGTACAAATTATGCTTTTCGTTGTTCTGTTATTAAAGACCTATTTCTCTCAAGTTTTGGCTGACCGAAGTACAAATACTTAAGGCAGCCAATACTAGTGACAGTACATTTCTGAAGTAGATAGAAGGAACATGTTAAGAAAATGAAATGAAAAACTTTGTTTTTTTGAAAAACTAACTTTATGACTTTCTTTGGGCCAGGTATTTCTCTGAGTTACTACTTAAAATGCGTAAGAGATGCTTTGTTAAGTTAATTCTTTGATTTGTTTTTCTTAATTAGTATTTTATATCTGGGATACAGCTAGAATTTCAATGTTCTGGGAAATTTCACATACAATAGAGCTTAGTAGTTTTTGTTTTAAATATCACATAATATGTGCAATGGAGATTTGATTTATCAAGATGAATGAATCCAGAGTGGGAAAGCCCCACAAAGTCTGCTGCCTGCCTTTTTGCATTACTTTTTGCTGGAGTTTGGAGATGAAGAGTTCAACAGTTAGTGTATTCTAGAACCTTGGTGGGCAGCAGGCCTCAAGACTGCTATTGCACAGTGTTCTTTACTCTGTAGGTCTGGAACCTGGATGGTCAGTTTATTTTCCCAGTTGTAATCAGGCCCTGGAAAAACCTGGCTCATGGAGCTCAGACTCTCAGTAGATTTATGTAAGAAAAGCAATTTGAGAATGGTTTTCCATGTAAAATGAGTTTTTCACTGGAGAAAGCTTAAGCTTATTTGAAATCTGAACCAATTTCATAAGCGGTTATGAGTACAAATTATTTACCATGCTAACACATAGTAGGTTGCTTTAAAAACGACTTTTTTCCCCCATTAAGGGGAATTTAATTGGCTGAGAAAGAAGGGGAGTCATTTGTTGAGGTACTAGGTTAGTTGTTTGGAAATCTCAGGTTAAAATGCCTAGGTTCCAAAACTGTGATCATGTTAAATAAGTCACTCTGTGGTCCAGTTTTCTCCTCTGCAGAACCGCTGTAATAATACCTACCTCATAAGGTTGTAAATAAGCAAGCAAGTAATGTGCTTAGTAAATACTGGCTGTTCTCACAACTTTGGGAAATAGACATTTTACAGGAGACAAAACTGAGGCCTGGGGCCGGTTACATTCAGTAAATATTGAGTGGAAAGAATGAGTGTCTTTAGCCCACTCTCCCACCTCCAGAAACTGGTTCTGGGAAGACATTGTCTTCTACACCAGGTTGCCTATCCAATTCTGATTGAACCATTTTACATCAGACTCTTGTGGAAATTGAGAAAATGCTGTTTTCTTTGTTCCTGGTTTCTCTTGTCCGCAAGAGTCCTGGATTTCCCACACTTAGTTTTGACTCTGGGAGGTTACAAATTGAAAACATTTCATTGTCTTTTGGCTTTTCAGTTTCTCTTTTAATTGAGTCTACAACTAAGGTTTTCTGTATTATGGAAATGATCTGGAAATGCATTTAGTCCAAAAGAAGGCACTTTGTTTTCAAGGAAGGTTTTCTTTTTGCACCAGAAGTATGAAAGTTGCAATTGAACTAAAATCAAATAATTCATTTCTAGCTTTGTATTGAGTTGTTTCCACCTATTATAAGTTTGATTTTTCTTAATGTAATTTTAATTTGATTCGTGTTAATGTATGCTGAGTTTAAATAGCTCTCATTTTGAAATGCATTTTGCCCCACACTATTCTAATCTTCCCTTCCCCATATGCCTGCTTCAAATAAGCAAGAAATATTTTTCTGCCGATTGTTATGAAAGCATTGAATTATTTACTATTAATTTTATGTAATTAAAGTAATTCACTTGGTTTACATTTCCTGGAAATCTTTGAACCTCACAAATTTTTTTCCTACGAAAGTCTGTGTACTTACTGACTCTTAAAAATGACTCCAAAATACTCGTTTTTTTTAATGCACTTTATTGTGAACACCATTTCCCATTTGGTGCCCTTAAATATACCCTTCAGATCTGTTTTGCCCATCCCACTCTTCAGGTATTAGCAAATTCTGCCTGTATCTGTGTACCATGTACAGACAACACCTGGTTGTAATATAAGACTTAGTTCCTGCCCTGCAACACTTTACCATTGAGAGGAAGGAGATAATATATCAAACAAGTATGTGAAAATCCTGTTAGGTATTATACAGGTATTGACAGCTTTTGTTTAAAAAAGAAAAATCCTAATTTCTGAGTTAAGGGGATAGAGGTAAAACCATCCCAAACAGAGATAACTTGAGTAGAGATGTGGCTAGTTGTTAAAGTTGGTTTGACACTCCTGGAATATCAGGATTCCAAGTTGGGAGCAGCTGATAGGCAGGACCAGATCCTGAAAAGCTTTGCATTTCTTGCCAGGGAGTTTAGACATTATTCTAAAACACTTATTGACACCTTGGAAGAGATGTTTGATGTTTGAGCTTTAGGAAGGTACCGCCTGTTTGAAGGTTCTGAGAATGTCAGTTATGAGGCTTCAGCACCGTGATGAGGGGACCAGTAGGCAATAGGGACAGAAGGGACATGAACCAGAGAAGTGAAGGAAGAGCAGAATCTTTAAGAACTTCATAGTGGACATGTTGGGGGCCATGCAGAGGATGAGAAGGGAGAGAGACCAGTTGAATTCCAGATTTTTTTGTGTGACTGTATAGGTGACAACTAAGGTAGGTGAACACTAGAACAACATGTTTTGGAGAGAAGATTACGTAATTAATTTAGAGTATTTAAAGGTTAGGACTTGGCCAGTCCTTGTGTTGATGCCTAATAGGTACTATTCAGAAATGGAAGAATCAGAGTGCTTAAATTTTTCTGAGGTTTGGGACAGACCAGGTACATGCTACCATATCTCCTTAACATTTTCCTCAAGTTCGGAAACAGAACGTTGCTCCATACCTTAAAATCTCCCTGAAAAAAAAAAAAACAAGTTTCCCTTTTCTCACAAATCTGGGCTTAAAAGAAAACCTTCAGTAATCAGGATTCCAACCTCAGTTTAATTTGTTGGAGATGCCCTGGGAAAGATAGTTTTTATTTCTATGATGTACAAGTCTTGTAATTCAAGGAAATAAGTGGGATACAGATTCTGGTATTTTCATACTCTTGCTTCACAGCGTCCCTGGAAAGTAGAAGTGAGATTTCACCCTAATATTGCAGAGAGGGCAAATAAAATTAGAAGTGACTTCCTATTGAATTGTAAAGATGAAAGCAGAAATAGACTTCAACTTGACTCATTACAATGCCTTTTTCACCAGACTCAACAGTAGTTAACATTTCTTAATAATCATCCATTCAAAGTAAATAAATACTATCTTCCCAACCTTTACAGTTTTCTCATGCACTTTTAATCTAGAATTGAGATACCCAGTGTTTTTTTTTTTTTCACTCTATTAAAAATGGGAAGACCTAGTATTTTATTTTATTTTTACACTGTCTAAAACTCAGAGACCTGGATTTTTTATTTTTATTTTTAACCTATGCTATTTCAGTTGAAGTCTTTATTTCTGAGTTTGACCTCTTTCCTGTAGGATGAATTCTAGGTTCTTCTGAGTGTGGATTCCATAGGCAGCCATAATTAATACTTTACCATGTAATTTCTCAGAGACTGGGTGCACGTGTGGAGAGCCTTTGGCAAACCAGTGGGGTTGGTGTCCACAACCCTTTCTTAGTTTTTCTCCAGGGTTAAAATTTGTTCCTTAAAAGTGAGCAAGTAAAGTAAATTCAGAAGTTTTGATGTTGGGATGTGGACTAGTCTGAAGGATGTAAGAGGGAATAATCATGTTCAGTTGCGCTTTGGCTTTCCTTAAGTTCTGATGAAACCCGTCTCATTATTGGGAACATTGCAGCCAAGTGGCCTAGCAGCATGAGAACACAAAACAGTCGTCTTTGACTCCTTGTGAAGTTTTGCTCCAGTTACACTGTTAGCGTTTACTGGATCCTTTGTGCTTACAGGTAATTAAAGATAGCATACCACTGACTAAAAATGGTGTCAAGGGTGACTTTAACAATCACAGCAACTAAAGTTTGCTCATAACTTTTGATCATGGCTGTTTTTCGATGCTTCTATCTCTTCTTTTCCCATCATCTTGTTCTTTAAAGTTCAGCTCTAAAGAAATGCCATCTCTTTCACTTCAGAGTTGTCTTTGGTTGCTTGGTTCCTTTTGTCTTTGTTCACTGCTTCCTTCCCACTTTACAAATCTTTTGCATGTCTCTTCTCTGCAGCTTCCTTCCCATCATGCTCGATGTCCACTCTATTCTCTGCCGTGGAGTATATTTCCTAATGTGTATCTCTCCATCTGTATGTCTTTGAGGAAGTTTGTTTCAGCTCTCTGGGCTCTTTCAGATCCTTCTTTAGTTACGTCAAGGTGTGCGATGGTAACTAAGGTTTTGGGGGCGTGGTGCTAGAAAGGAGGAAAGTGAAAGTAAACTTCCTTCATTCTTGCTCCCCTCAGAGGCAACCACTAGTTACTAGTTTTTATTTTTTTTTTATTTATTTTTTTTTTTAATTTTTATTTATTTATGATAGGCACACAGTGAGAGGGAGAGAGGCAGAGACACAGGCAGAGGGAGAAGCAGGCTCCATGCACCGGGAGCCCGACGTGGGATTCGATCCTGGGTCTCCAGGATCGCGCCCTGGGCCAAAGGCAGGCGCTAAACCGCTGTGCCACCCAGGGATCCCAGTTACTAGTTTTTAAAAACCTATTTTTAAAAAGCCAGTTTATGTATTTAAGGTCCCATTTTAAAAACACTATTATGAGATTGTACTGTATAGCTATTACTCTACTTGGGAGTAGAACAAGATATCTTGGATAGTTCCCACGCTGTAAATATGTCACAGATCTCTGCAATTAGGGTCTGAAACTGTATTCTCTAGTATGGAGGCATCATAATTTAACCAACCTAAGAATTCATGGACATTTAGGATGCTTCCAGTATCTTGTGGGTTTGTTTGTTGGTTTGTTTTAAAGGTCTGTGTCAGTTGGTTTTTAGAAAAAGTGAGGATTAGAAGCTGTGGGATTTTGATATATTGAAAATGGCCAAAAAAAAAAAAAAAAAAGACCCACTTTCAGAATACTTTTTTGGGAGGTTATACTCTTACTTGTTATCAGAATTTCATTTCCCAAAGTGGCATGGATAAATTGCGATACTAACTATAAAGTTGATTTATCATCCTTGGCATACATACTTCTCTTTTAGTTTTTTTCTATCCAGTTCATCCAGTGGCATTTTGAGTTTTTTGAAAGGTATTTTTGAAAATAAAAAAACCCCTTTACTTCCTGAATGGAATCTAGAAAGTGGAATTGGGGAAGTTATATTTAGAAGGAACTATTGGTGTTCTTCAAAGTGCACCCAAAAAGGCAATCCTGTTAGATTTTGAATTTATCATAGTAAGATAAATCTCTATTTTCCTAAATGTTAAATTAATACCCTTGTAAGATTTAAAAGACAAGAATACCCTGGAATTAAGTTCTTCACCTCACTGTCTCCAATCCCATATTAAAAGGGTACTAAAAGCTTTAGAGTTTGCATTTCACTGTTCTTCATACTGTTTCCTGATTAAAGTCAAGCTTAAAATGAATTTAGTATTGTTAAAAGACCCTCTTTAAGGCTAGAATTATTTAACAAAACTTTTCTTAAATAGCATCCCTTCATATTAGCTATTGTGAAGATTCCTTTTCTTTCCCATTTATATTTTATTGCACTCAGTAAACTTAACCTTCTGCAAGTTGAATTAAGTGTAAAATAGATACCATTTCTGCTGTTTGGCTTCATAGTCTCATTAGGTTAGATTAGAATTGGTCCAAAAAAAAAAAAAAAAAGATTAGAATTGGTCCTTTTGATGGGGTTCCTGACTTGCTTAGACAATTGGTAGAGCATTGGACTCTTGAACTCGGGGTTGTGAGTTTGAGCCCCACATCGGGCACAGAGATTACTTGATGAATAAATGATAGAATTGGTCCTTTTGTATCTTTGATATACAGCATTGACCCTACTGTTTCCTTGTGTTAACACTAAGGTTGCAGTCCCCGTCTATTCATTAATTTGATCATGAGGTTTATATGAAGTGTGCAGCTTTAAAGTGGGGGAAAAAAACCAATAAATTATGATCAAATGTTTAGAATTAATTGTTACAGTTTTTTAAAAATCACTTTTTGTTGTCTGTGTATATTTTGCTCATATAATCACAGTTATTTCTTTTATGGTTTTTGCTGACTTAACTATTTTAATCTTTTTAACTTTGGGAGATTGGATTAAGTTGGACAGAACAGTAAAAATTTGTAGCTATTTGGCTAATAGTGGCCAAAGAAATAATGTTAATGAGAGTGGCTTAAAACATGAGCTGCTATATAAACAACAACTTTTTAAAAGATTTTATTTGACAGAGCACAAGCAGGGGGAACATGAGCTGGAGAGGGAGAAGCAGGCAGGGAGCCCTACATGGGGCTTAATCCCAGGACCCTGGGATCATGACCTGAGCCGAAAGCAGACGCTTAACCGACTGAGCCACCCAGGTGCCCATATAAACATAACTTTTTAAAAAAAAAACCCAACTTGTTTAAAAGAGTTTAATCAGCACATTTATTGAGTACTTACTAAGTGATAGGGATTATTCTAGCTGCTGATGTTACAAAGATATATAAAGACAGGAGAATTCCTAACCTAGTCTATTTTCATTTTTAAAAACAAGCTTTTTGAATTCACACACCATAAAATTCACTCTTTTAAAGCGTACAATTCAGTGGTTTTTAGTATATTTACAGAGTTTTGCAACCATCACCACTGTTCTAATTTTGGAAGACAAATGGCACTTTTTAATGAGCATTTTAAGTCTTTCTGATTTTTGGCTTTATCTCAAAGCTTAATTTTCTTTTGCTTTCCCCCACACACTTAAGAGCAAGATTGTATGGTGTCCACTCTCTTCTGTAATTATTCATCAATTAGGAAGCAGATGATATTGGCTTCCGTCTGTGAAAACAGTGCCGAATGATGTGATACCTGTGAGAATAGATGCAAAAGTCACATAGTTTAAGAGCTTACGGTGTCATTTGAACAAATAAAATTGTTCTGGAGGAATTGTTTAATATTCCACAAATGTGGAACTAGGAAAGAAGTATTCTAAAGAACCACCAGGTTTGTTGAAATACCAGAAATTCCAGGTTTAAAATCTAGCTGTGCCAAACCTACCTACCACCTTATCAAGTATAAAAAGTAAGCTGATTTCAGAGCCATGCTGTGACCTTAGTTTTCCTCTGGACAGTGGGTAGGTTTTTTAGGGTTGTTTTTGTTTTGTTTTATTTTATTTTATTTTGTTTAAACATTAGCGAGTCTGTAGATTCTGTGAAAATAATTTCATTAATTTCTGGGCTCCCCAAAGCTCAAAATGGTTAAACACCAACAACTGGGTTGCTGTAAACAAAGCCCAAAATGAAACCCCTGTGTATTTGCTGCAGATTCCCAGGTGCCTCTCAAGTGCAGGAATAAGCTCAGAAAAGGTTTAATAGGTTTAAGTAATCATCCATTAAAAGGTTCATACACTACTTGTGTGTTGCGTCAGAGCAAGTGCCTTGCATCTTACTCCCTGTAGCACTGCCTACAAGAGTGTGGACCCTGGGTTTAGACCCCTCTCAGACATTGCAGCAAAATTTTATCAAGATGAACAAACATAAAGTCTCAGAGCTGCATAAAGGGTTGTTAATTAGAAGATATCAGGCTATTTTATTTTCCCTGATACTTAAAAAAGAATATTAATCTGAAGAATGGGATGTCTTGTGGGGACTGTTGGGTAAGTTTTGTGGAGATCCCCACCAACAAAAAAATCCTATTGAACACTTGATTCACAATAGCTGCTTATAAAAAGGGAGGCCTCAGCATTTAGCTATAACCCTAGCATTCCTTAAAAGCTTGCCAGTGAAATAGCTGGTGCAACCTGTGTTTCTTGGTCAAATCCAGCCTCGGTGAAGGTAGTTCCTGTCTTGGGAGATGATCCGAATGCTGTATGGTTTTGATGGCATGTTTATTTGCAGAGAGGGAAGGGGATTGTGAGGGGAGAGATAGGAATCTATCTGTTGTAATAGGATTTGGTCTGTGTATTAATGGAATGAACTGGCTTTTCTTGCTGTACTTCCTTTGTCCTTGCTGAGAAGGGAGGCTGAAGTTTCCTAGAGCTATTGATGAAGTTGGCGACTGTAAGAGGAAGTGTGGACTTTTGACCTTCTTGATGGTAATGGAGAATGTTAGGGGAGTTTGGAGAGCCCACAGGTTAGTTTCGAGGATAGAAAGAGCTGTAACATTTTTGCTTCAACGGGAATACACAATCATTTTCTTCAGGACATTTTCTTTTCATTTATCATTTGGGTTTGTTTGGGGGAAAAAATCGATATCTCATTTCACAGGCCTTATCACACCTTTTGAGTAGCTTCTTTTTTCTCCTCTCAAAAAAATCAAATTCCTAAATACTCCATTTAACAAGAATAATCAACTAAGCATATTTTGTTTTCATGTTTTAACAACTTCTATTCTTGAAGTGATTGTTTAGACTTAATTATTGAAATGCGTCAGTGGCTTTCTGCCCTGCCCTATCTCCCTTCTTTGCCTGCCTTCCTCACCTACAAAAACATTAAAGATCACTTGATAAACAATAGCCCCTTTAAAAGGAAAGCTTCAGTGTTTAGCTAATTGCTTGCTAATAAACTATTTTCTTAGAAATAAATAATAAATCCTTTGTCCATATTTCAGAATCCCTCAATCTCAGACCTACCCACACAGCCTGGATATTTGATTATTTCTGTGAATTGCTTTTGTAAATACTTGCTCTGGTATACTAACCAGAATTGAGATGGAATGGGATCAGATAGGTCATCCAAAGACATACCAAACTTTTTGTTTTACTCATATATTTCAGTGTATTTCTAAAATAATTTTATTTAAAGATTTTATTTATTCTTGAGAGACGGGGTAGGGGGCGGGGGGCGGGGAGGCAGAGACCTAGGCAGAGGGAGAAGAGGCTCCCTGCGTGAAGTCTGATGTGGGACTTAACCCCAGGACCCTGGGATCATGACCTGACCTGAAGGCAGATGCTCAACCACTGAGCCACCCAGGCGCGCCCTCTAAAGAACTTTATTTATTTATTTTTTAAAGACTTTATTTATTTATTCATGAGAGACACACAGAGAGAGGCAGAGACACAGGCAGAGAGAGAAGTAGGCTCCATGCAAGGAGCCCGATGTGGGACTCGATCCCAGGACTCCAGTATCATGCCTTGGGCCAAAGGCAAGCACTCAACCGCTGAGCCACCCAGGTGTCCCTCTAAAAGAACTTTATTTATTTTTTAAAGACTTTATTTAAGAGATCCCTAGATGGCTCAGCGGTTTAGCGCCTGCCCTCGGTTTAGCGCCTGCCCTCGACCCTGGGCCTGATCTTGGAGTCCCAGGATCGCGTCCCACGACGGACTCCCAGTATGGAGCCTGCTTCTCCCTCTGCCTTGTCTCTGCACCTCTCTCTATGTCTATCATAAATAAATAAATAAGACCTCTTTAAAAAAAAAAAAAAAAACTTTCTCTGGGCAGCCCCCGTGGCGCAGTGGTTTGGCGCTGCCTGCAGCCTGAGGTGTGATCCTGGAGAACCAGGATCAAGTCCCACGTCGGTCTCCCTGCGTGGAGCCTGGTTCTCCCTCTGCCTGTGTCTCTGCCTCTCTCTCTCTCTCTCTCTCTCTCTCTCTCTCTCTCTCTCTCTCAATAAATAAACAAAATCTAATTTATTTATTTATTTATTTGTTTATTTATTTATTTATTTTTTATGATAGTTACACACACACAGAGAGAGGCAGAGACACAGGCAGAGGGAGAAGCAGGCTCCATGCACCGGGAGCCCGATGTGGGATTCGATCCTGGGTCTCCAGGATCGCGCCCTGGGCCAAAGGCAGGCGCCAAACCGCTGCGCCACCCAGGGATCCCTATTTTTAAAACTTTTTTTAAGGGATTTTATTTATTTATTCATGAGAGACCAAGAGAGAGGCAGAGACACACAGGCAGAGGGAGAAACAGGTTCCATGCAGAGAGCCCCATGCGGGACTCATTCTGATATGGTGGGATCAGGCCCTGAGCCAAAGGCAGACGCTCAACTGCTGAGCCACCCAGGCGACCCGCCTTTGGGGTTTAGTTTCTATATTCATTGCCTTTTTACTCCCTCTCTTAGTCCAGATGATCTCGTGAAACTGGCCGTTGGTTTGGAAATTCTAAATTTCTTCTATGGTGGGTGTTTACTGCCAGCTACATTTTTGCTACATCTAGCTCTAGAGCTGCTTCTTCATTTCTTGCTTGATGTTGAGGTTTTTTTGATCATGAGACTCACAATTTATCATACCTTGTATTTCTTGGACATCTGCTTCTCACTATTTATTACTGCTCGCAGGCACAGGACTCCATAGAAGAAGAGCTCCAAAAACTTCTATAAAACTGAATCAGACCAATGGTTAGGAAATAGGAACTTTTTTCTTTTTTTAAAGATTTTGAGAGAGAGTAAGGGGAGGGAGAGGGAGAAGCAGACTCTCCATGCAGCAGGTGGGAGCAGGTAGTCCCATGTGGGGCTCAATCCCAGAACCTCCTCGGGGTCATGACCTAAGCCAGAGGCAGCTGCTTACCCTATTGAGCCACCTATGTGCCCCATGAACTGGTTTTTAATTCATCTTAATGATGCATAAAAAAAATTTTTTTTAAAGATTTTATTCACTTATTCACGAGAGACACAGAGAGGCAGAGACACAGGCAGAGAGAGAAGCAGTCTCCATGAAGGAAGCCTGATGGACTTGGGGGACTCGATCCTGGATCCCAGGATCACGCCCTGAGCCGAAGGCAAACACTCAACCACTGAACCACCCAGGCGTCCCTAATGACATATAAAATTGTTAAATCCTGACCTTGGATTTTTGTGATTTTTACATCCTCCTTTCAGTAGTAGAGTCAACTTGCCAGCTTTGAACTTTACATTATCACAGAAGAAATCCCCTCTAACTTCCCATAGGGCGAAGTATTACGGGTTGATGTATATTGAGCTAGTTATGTTCTTAGTATCAAATAGTGGCCATAATAAATGCTCAGAACTTCCCCAGTGGGGAGTCACATCAATACAAAGGTGCAAAATAGAAGGGGGGGGGTGCATTTCCTTAAATTTTAGGATACATCCTTCATTGTATATGATTGAATCATTTATAGTGGGGAGAGTTTGTTAGATTTTCTACTTAAGTTGATTTTTAAAATATGCCTGCCTCCCCTCATTTTTGGAATGAGCGTTGCCAGAAGAGTAGAAGAAGGTGTGGTAGAGGCCTTTTTAAATAACTGAGCTATTCTGTATGTTTTATATACTTGCCATGCTAGTGCCAAGAATGGAGGTAGATACGGGAGGTCTTCCCCGGAGCCCTCCTGTCTGGCATGGTCATGTAATATCAAGTTACTGGGGGTGGGGTGGAACAGAGAATTCTCTTTTAATGGTTCCTTGTTACAACCCTCAACAAAGCTGTGTCACTTCCCTTGGCTTTACAGACTATTGCCCAGAAGAAAAGATGTTTGGTTTTCACAAGCCAAAGATGTACCGAAGTATAGAGGGCTGCTGTATTTGCAGAGCGAAGTCCTCCAGTTCTCGATTCACTGACAGTAAACGCTATGAAAAGGACTTCCAGAGCTGTTTTGGGTAAGATCATCTGATGTTTTTACCATCCTTAGAATGAAAAACATCACAGCTTACGGAAATATTTCCAAGCAAGGCAGGCAATTGGAGTAATGTGCTAATAAATTAAAATCATTTACAGTCTCATCTAGGCTATTTTAAGGCTCTCGCTTTGAAAATGAATCAAACATACTGACAACCTGCACTTTTCCAGGTTATAAGGAACTACCAAATTTGGAAGCCTCTTAATTATGCCAAACAAACTCTTTGGTTTTTAACTTAAAGATATATAGAAACTTTAAAAAAAATTACTCTTATTCTCTCTTAATAGTAGTTATCCTCTGATAGTTGTCTATTTGCATTGTTTTTCCACATTATGGAAGTTTAACTCCACCTCCTGAGGACAATAGCAATTAATTAATTAAATTAATTTCTTTATTAAGGTGAGGGAGACAGGGGAAGGAAGAGAGAATCTCTCAAGCGGACTCCCTCCTGAGTGCAGGCCTTATGCTGGGCTCCATCCCAGAACCTTGAGACCATGATCTAGGCTGGACGTTTAACTGACTGTGCCATCCAGGTGGCCCTCATTTTATCTTTCGACAGTGAACCTCTGCTTAATAAAATGGATTTTACTTTCCAACAAATACTTGGATAAATATTTACTGTTGAACCATTTCCCGTGGTAGAAGTTATTTTTTACCACTTTGTTCTTTTTTGATAAAAATATTTGTTGATTATTTATTTGTTAGTCTTGGATTTTATAGTTGTCTTGAAGGTTGTCAGAGAGTTTCTTTTGACCTTGCCATTTCAAGTTACATTTTTCTCTTAATGTTTCCAATGTTTTTTTTTTTTTTTAATATTTATTTATTTATGATAGCCACAGAGAGAGAGAGAGAGGCAGAGACACAGGCAGAGGGAGAAGCAGGCTCCATGCACCGGGAGCCCGATGTGGGATTCAATCCCGGGTCTCCAGGATCGCGCCCCGGGCCAAAGGCAGGCGCCAAACCGCTGCGCCACCCAGGGATCCCTGTTTCCAATGTTATACATGATAAAAGTTACCAGTATTTTTCTGTATGTATTTATAATACAGGAAAAATGTATCAAATGAAAGTTCTTCAAAGATATAATTTAAAAAGAGCTTGGTAGAGATTTTCCCCCTATGCAGATCCAGTCATGTAAAAAAAAAATTACAGTGCCTCTCCAGTTATGTGTCTTATAAAACTAGAATATTACGATAACATTTTTGTTTTAAAGATTTTATTAAAAAATAATAATAAAAATAAAGATTTTATTTATTTATTCATGAGAGGCAGAGGGAGAAACAGGGAGCCCAATGTGGGACTCAATCCCCGGACTCGGGATCACATCCTGAGCGGAAGGCAGACACTCAACCAACCACTGAGCCACCCAGGTGCCCCATGATAACATTTTTTTACTTAAAGGGTGGCATTTTGTTGCCTATGGAAGTATCTACATACTTCTGAAAGATTAATTGAACAACATTGTTTGAAACCATGGTGACCAGGATCTCCTCTAGGTGTTAAATTTTACTATTATTTAATTTTAAAAACATCATTTTAGAATGACCTCATTGCAGTACATAGAATTGGTTCATTGGATCGAGGAGTTTATTATATGTACAAAATGTACTACAGAAACCATGGAACTGGATCACCTAGGACAATTAGAAATAGCATCTATAAACTATAATCAGGTATATTTTTTCTAAAAGAAATGTGCTTGCATGAACTCCTTTTTTTTTTTTTTAACCTTTATTTGAAAGATTTTATTTATTCATTCAGAGAAAGAGGCAGAGAGACAGGCAGAGGGAGAAGCAGGCTCCATCAGGAAGCCCAATGTGGGGTTTGATCCCAGAACTCCCAGATCACTTCTGAGCCAAAGGCAGATGGTCAACCACTGAGCCACCCAGGCGTCCCCTAACATTTTGTTTTTAAGTAATCTCTACACCCAATGTGGACGTTAAACTTAAAACCCTGAGATCAAAAGTTGCATGGTCTACCAACTGAGCCAGCCAGGTGCTCCTGCATGAATTCTTTAATGTAAATGAGACTAATAAAGGTTTGGTTGTTTTCTTATCAGGTTGCATGAAACTCGTTCAGGAGACATCTGTAATGCCTGTGTCCTGCTTGTGAAAAGATGGAAGAAGTTGCCAGCAGGATCAAAAAAAAACTGGAATCATGTTAGTTCACCTTTTGTCTTTCTCAGTTATACCTTTATTACATTTAAAGTAACATTAGTTTCCCCCTAATTTAGAAGTAGTTGTCTCTCAGATGGAAAAGTGAAAGAATAAAGTAAAACACTGGTTACTGTTCATATATAATTACTAAACATTTTGGCATGTTTAGAAGCAAAATAGCTTGGGTGTAGCGTTTCCCTAAGGCTGTATCCAATATCCTCATTTTGGAGATCCACAGTGTACATTCACATATTTTTAGATTTTTTTTTTTTTTTTAAGATTTTATTTATTTATTCATGAGAGACACAGAGAGTGGCAGAGACATAGACAGAGGGAGAAGCAGTCTCCGTGCCGGAAGCCCAATGTGGGATTTGATCCCGGGACTCCGGAATCACTTCCTGAGCCAAAGGCAGATGCTCAACTGCTGAGCCACCCAGGTGTCCCTATTTTTAGATTTAACACAGAAAATCCTTGAGTTATTCAGACGTGGATCCTTTTTCCATCTCTAGGATAACATTTATCTTAACTCACGGTAGTACTATCATGAGCATGTAGGGTTTAAAATTAACTGAATTTGAATCCTGTCGTTACCACTTAACTGGTTGTGAACTTTGGGCAATTTACATTTACTTACAAAGCGCAAGGATGATAGCTATCTCACAGCTCTTTTAAGAACCGAATGAGATTATATGTGTTAAAGTCTAACACAGTGTTCAAGTATATGGAAGCCATGCTTATTCTCTATTTAAATCTAGTTGCGGTCATACTGGTGTATGTAAATGTATGTTCTGTTTGCCATTGTCACTGATTTTCAAGGACCAGAATAACACTATTAAGCCTTATTTAATTCTTTTGTATGTTAGCTTTTATAACATTTTTTGGCATTTATACAAAATATTTGTATTTAAGCAGGCAGAGTTTATTCTTTAGCTATCTTTTCCTAACACTAGCCTTTCAGTGTCCTTTGGTGACTATGTTACTTACGACTTCTAAAAAAAGTTACAAAAAAAATGAATTTTCTTTAATAACTTAGCTGGAGAAGATCCAAATTGTGATTTTGAAGGTGAGGGCAACCTTTTTTAAGGATAGAAATCTGCAGATAATGAATGTGAAGGAATCGTGAGAAATGATACCATGCAGGCCTGGACCAATGGCAAAGCTAGATATGAGAGATCATACCATTGTCATCATGTAAATGATCTCAGGGATTAAAATGTGTAGTGTAGAGAAAAGAGCATAAAGCATAGGTGTGAAAACCTTGATTTGAGTCTTGTACTCTTCTCTACCCATTCTTGCCCATTTACTAGCTTAGTGAAATAAGACAAAAGATAATTTCTCTTGTTTTCCTTCATCTTAAATTGGAGTAACAAAAATAGTCCCCTTACTTAGTGAAGGAAAAATCAAAGTGTATGAAAGCTTTTTGTAAACCATACTGTCTTTTAGAAATGTTAGTTGTTGTTAGGCTTGATTTTCTTTAACCTCTTGGGCCAGTCTAAATCTAATTTTTTTTGTTCAGCACACTGTTACTATTGCCTGCTTCAAAGAAAAAAAAAATAGTAGATGAGCTGTTTAATAGTACTGTGTGATGATTAAAAGTATACATGTGCTCTCAAACACTCCTGAGTCGAAAACTGGTTCTCAGTTTTGGCTTCTTCAGATAGGCATTTGTCTGAACCAAAGGAATACAAGAGGTGTCATTTTTTAAATGGTATTAAATATTCAGTATTTTCTTCCAGGTGGTAGATGCAAGGGCAGGACCCAGTCTGAAGACTACTTTGAAACCAAAGAAAGTGAAAACTCTATCTGGAAACAGGATAAAAAGCAACCAGATCAGTAAACTACAGAAGGAATTTAAACGTCACAGTAAGTTTGATAGTGAAATATGAGTACTCAAGAATAGTTGGTCTTTATTTTTGTCTGGGGCTGGCATATGGTATGTATAGATTTTTAAAATTTCTTTTAGAAAGTGTACAAAGGTATTGTCGAGTTAGTAGAGATAGTTCTTTGGCGTCTTGAAATTAATTTTGATGTCATCAAAGTACTCTGATTAGCCATTTCTTTTTTTTTTCTTTTTTTTTTTTAAGATTTTATTTATTCATGGGAGACGCACAGAGAGAGGCAGAGACACAGGCTATCATCATCTTAAATTTTCTAGAAGATGTATTTGTCAGGCTTGTTTACTTGATATTTATGCATAAGGAAATTGATGTCTGAGATATGCAGAAAAGGTATGTAAATAATTAGTGGACAATCTGAGACCAAAGCCCAGGTTTTCTCGAAAGTAACTTTAGAAATAATAACTCACATGTTACTGTAAAGCTAACCTCAGGACTTTCAGGTTTCTGGGGCAGTGTGTGTTGTGTGGAGTAATGGAATGGAAGAAGGAATGACAAATTAATATCGGGTTCCTATACTATTTTTTTTTTAAAGATTTTATTTATTCATGAGAGACACACAGAGGCAGAGACACAGGCAGAGAGAAGCAGGCTCCATGCAGAAGCCCAATGTGGGATTCGATTCTGAGACTCTGGGATCACACCCTGAGCTAAAGGCAGATGCTCAACTGCTGAGCCACCCAGGCAGTCCAAGAGGGGAGGATTTCTAAGGCAGCACTACTGAATCAAACACATAAGTATTTCTGTAGCAGAAATTTAAGAGTATTAACATAGGTGGATAAATAAAACTTGTATGGGTTAGTCAGGTTCATTTACTCTAATTTTATAGTTCACATCAGGCCAGATTTTGTGGCTGAATGGGTTAGGGATAACCTTTCTGTTTTCAGGGTTTTTTCAAAATTATAGATATGAATTGTGGACCGGTAATGGAGTTTGCAGAATTAAAAGAACAATAACCACAACTCTGAAGTCTTTGCATATCTCCTGCTAACTTTCTACTCTTTTAAGGTGTTCCTAGTCTATAGTTATTCTGATGATACACTTAATCTTTTGCTAAAATATCGTGATATTTTATAGTAAAATATTTAGGTAACAAATATGTGCGTATTTTGATTATACAGGTTCTTTTTTATTTAAAGAAATTTTTTTTCAAGTTTTTATTTAAATTCAGTTAACGTACAGTGTAACTTTAGTTTCAGGAGAAGAATTTAGTGTTTCATCAGTTACATAAAACACCTAGTGCTCCTCACAAGTGCCCACCTTAATACCTATCACCCATTTAGCCCATTCTCCCCCTACCTCTTAATCCTTAGATCTCCATAGGTGAGTCTTTTCTAGTTTGCCTTTCTCTACCCCCTTCCATGTTCATTTTTTTTTTATGTCTCAAGTTCCACATGTGAGTGAAATCATACGATATTTGTCTTGCTGTGACTGAGTTTATTTTACTTAGCATAATACTTTCTAGCTCCATCCACATCAGTGCAAACCTTCTTTTTAAAATCTTGTTCTTATGAGAGACTCCTAACTCTGGGAAATGAACTAGGGGTGGGGGAAGGGGAGGTGGGTGGGGGTGGGGGTGACTGGGTGATGGGCACTGAGGGGGGCACTTGATGGGATGAGCACTGGGTGTTATTCTATATGTTGGCAAATTGAACACCAATAAAAAATAAATTTACAAAAAAATAAAATAAAATCTTGTTCTTGGGCTGCCTGGGTGGCTCAGTTGGTTAAGTGTCTGCCTTTGGCTTGATCTCTAGGTCCCTGGATCAAGCTCCAAATCAAGCTTCCTGCTCAGCAGGGAGTCTGCTTCTTTCTCTGTCTCCCCCTCTCCTCTTTCTCCCTCCCTCTCACCCCCCTCCCTCCTGCCCCTCCCCACCATGAATTGTCTCTCTCAAACAAATCTTTTTTTTTTTGTTCCAAACAAATAAATCTTAAAAAAAAAAAATCATTCTTCTTTATGGCTATATAGAATTCTTTCATATGTGTGTATGAACACACATGCACACCCCTCACCCCCCATCTTTATTCATTTATCTATATAGATGGACACTTGGCTTGCTTCCATATCTTGGCTATTGTAAATAGTGCTTTAATAAACATAGGGGGTGGGATGCCTGGGTGGCTCAGAACGTGATCCTGGAGTCCCAGAATTGAGTCCCACATTGAGCTCTGCATGGAGCCTGCTTCTTCGTCTGCCTGTGTCTCTGCCCCGTCCCCCCCTCTCTGTGTCTCTCATGAATAAATAAATGAAATCTTTTTTTTTTAAGATTTTATTTATTTATTCATGAGAGACACACAGAGGCAGAGATACATGCAGAGGGAGAAGCAGGCTCCATGCAGGGAGCCCAATGTGGGACTTGATCCTGGGTCTCCAGGATCACATCCTAGGCCGAAGGCGGCGCCAAACCGCTGAGCCACCTGGGCTGCCCGAAATCTTTAAATAATAATAATAATAAACATAAGGGTGCACACATCTTTTCAAATTAGTGTTTTCATTTTCTTTGGGTAAATACTCAGTAGTGGAATTACTGGATTACATGATATTTCTATTTTTAATTTTTTAAGGGACCTCCATACTGTTTCTTTTTTTTTTCCATACTGTTTTCTACAGTGGTTTGCAGCACTTTGCATTCCCAACAGTGCACAAGGATTCCTTTTTCTCCACATCCTTGCCAACACTTGTTATTTCTTGTCCTTTTTTTTTCTTTTTTTTTGTAAGAATGTCTATTAAGTTCCTCTGCCCATTTTGTAACTGGATTATCTGTTTATACATGTTCCCTTCCTGATTAGCTATTACCAGGGGAAGAGAAAAAGAGGGCCCTACCCTCCATTCTTACCAAGTGTTTTAATGAACATTTGGGTAATAGTAATTTTCTTCTACTACTTGAAGGTTATAGGAATTGATTATTCATATGTATCTTCTTAGCTCTTAGCTCCTCCCTTTAATTATGGGGAAAGTGATACCTGACTCAGTTTTGCCTTACCTAAGGGAATATGTCCGGTGTAATTTTAGATTTTTATTATAAAGCTGTGTTGTGGAGGGAGGGATTGGAGAGTGAAAATAAGTCCTTTTGAAAAAGGTGTGTGGGCTTTGTAGGCTTGGGCTGAAATCGGGTTTTCCCATGTGCATTGTGAATTGCTAACACCTATGTGCATTGCAACAGTTCTGAGATGACTTGAATTTTTGTACCTCACCCACTAAATGGTGTCCTCACGTCTGATTATATATTTGCTTCCATGGGTCCTGTGTGTACCTACGTTTATTTCTGAGATATTCTTTCCTTTGTGTGGTGTACTGGAAAGGCATTAGACCTACAGCCTGAAGATCTGGATTTGAGTTACAGTTCTTGAAACTCAACAAAATGTGGCCTTAGTGCCACTTAACATTGAACCATACTTTTTTTTTTTTTTTTTTTTTTTAAAGATTGAGCCACTGAGGCATCCCTCAAATAAACAGTGGTTGAGTGTCTGCCTTCCATTCAGGACGTGATCCTGGAGTTCCAGGACCAAGTCCCACATCAGGCTCCCCGCAAGGAGCCTGCTACTCCCTCTGCCTATGTCTCTACCTTTTTTTGTGTCTCTCATGAATAAAAAAATATTTTTTAAAAAAGATTGTTTATTTGAGAGAGAAAGCAAGCACAAGCTGGGGGAGAGGCAGAGGGAGAAGGGGAGGGACAGATCTGAGAAATGGGAATAATCAAGTAAAAAGGGTTTTGTAAAACAAAACAAATTCCTATATATATGTTAGTTATTCTTTTTGTAATCCTTCTTAAAAATCTACAGTGAATTCTGGTTGCTATGGAATAAAGTTGCAAATCCCTAGTGCGTCTTTTGGAAGTCCTATTTTAGGTAAAGAATATTTGGGCTGAGTCAGTTCCTTTCCTATGCATAGTGTGTTCTGCTTCCATTACTTTGCTCCTCATCTCCTATCTACCATGTGCTAGCTAATTACTCCTTCATGCCTTTTCAAATCCCACAATATTTAAGATTTTAAAAACTGTAGTTCTTTGAAGAATTTCCAGGCCCACATTCTAGAAGAGAATCTTCTTCCTAACTGCATTTTTATATGGTTTGTATTTAGTGTCCCAAGTGTTAGATTAAACCATATGAAATTGCCATTTTATAAGTAGAAAATGGTCTAGTAAACTGTAGCTTCAAATATTTCTTGGATATTAAGCACTCCCTAGGATAGTGAGTTTTCTTCACAAGCATAGAGCCGATTACTGCTGCTACTAATTGTTGGGCAAGCCTTTTAAACATTCCAGTAGACTTATTTCATAAAGTCTGCTATTCTTGAGGATTTTGTGGGTAAACTTTTGTTAATACAAAGCACTATAAGCTCTATTCATAGGTTTTCTTTAGTGTCATGTAGGATATGACATATATGTCCTTAATAAATACCCAGGGGCACCTGGATGGTGCAGTGGGTTATATGTTGGATTCCTGTTTTCCCCTTGGGTTGTGATCTCAGGGTCAGGAGATGGAGTCCCCAGTTGGGCTCCATGCTCATTATAGAGTCTGCTTGAGACCCTTTCTCCCCTCTCCTGTGCTCCCCTCCCCCCACTCAAGAACTCTCTCTCAAATGAATGAATAAACCTTTTTTTTTTTTAAAGATTGTATTTATTCATGAGACACACACACACACACACACACACACACACACACACAGAGAGAGAGAGAGAGAGAGGCAGAGACACAGGCAGAGGGAGAAGCAGGCTCCATGCAGGGAGCCAGTCATGGGACTTGACCTTGGGTCTCCAGGATCACACCCTGGACTGAAGGCGGCGCTAAACTTCTGAGCCACCCGGGCTGCCCCCCCCCCCTTTTTTTTGAATAAATCTTTAAAAAAAAAACTTAATTGGTTCTTTGAATTGGAGGATTGCTATATCTGCCTATCCTGGGAGGGAGGTGTGTGGTAAGCTCAACCTCTATTTGTGATGTTGTCACCATGGAATAGCAGTAGGAAAGCCTTAGAGCATGGTGATCATCAACCAAAAGATTAATTTTCTGGCTTGTAAATTTGACTTGTCTTTTAAGGGCAAAAATACTAAGTCACGTTTAACTTGTATCTGATGGGGCAGCCCCAGTGGCGCAGCGGTTTGGCTCCTCCTGCATCCCGGGCAGTGATCCTGGAGACCCGGAGTTGAGTCCCACGTTGGGCTACCTGCATGGAGCCTGCTTCTCCTCTGCCTGTGTCTCTGCCTTTCACTCTCGCTCTGTGTCTCTCATGAATAAATAAAATAAAATCTTAAAAAAAAAAAACAAAAAAACTTGTATCTGATGAATTGCCTTTAATCCTTTTTAAGTCTGGATCTATTTTATTTTCCCTTTGTAGGTAAAGTATTGTTTTTATTTGGTTGCTTTTAAGGCTTTTCCCCTGTCTTTAGTTTTAAGAATTTAATTAATGATAATGGTAGTGATTTCTTTTGAGTATATCCTGTTTGGGGTTTGCTCAGCTTGTTGAGTCTCTATAGGTTTATGTCTCTTGCCAATTTTGACAGGTTTTCAGGCATTATATTTCTTTGAGTACATTTTCATCTCCACCCTCTCCCTCTTTCCAGGACTGCAGTGACACAAATGCAGATTTTTGTTACAGTCCCAGAGGTCTCTTAAGTCTCTATTCAGTTGTTTTCTTTGTGTTGTTCAGGTTGGGTAATTTCTCTTATTCTTTCTTCCAGTTCATTGATTGTCTCCTCTGTCCCCTCCATTCTGCTCTTAAGCACATGCATGAGCTTTTTATTTCATTTTTTTTTCCAGTTCAAATTTCAGTTCCACTTGGTTGTTTTTTTTTTTTTTTTTTCCACTTGGGTTTTTTTTTTTTTTTAAGGTTTTATTTATTTATTCATGAGAGACACAGAGGGAGAAGCAGGCCTCCTGCAGGGAGTCCAGTGCAGGGACCCTATCCTAGGACCCTGGGACCACACCCCGAACCAAAGGCAGCTGCTCAGCTGCTAAGCCACCCATACGTCCCTCACTTGGTTCTTATTTATAGCTTTTAGTTATTTATTAAACTGAGATCTGGGGATCCCTGGGTGGCTCAGCAGTTGAGCGTCTGCCTTCGGCTCAGGATGTGATCTCAGAGTTCCAGGATCCAGTCCCACATTGGGCTCCTGCATGGAGTCTGCTTCTCTTCCCTCTGCCTGTGTCTCTGCCTCTCTCTGTGTATCTCTCATGAATAAATAAATAAAATCTTAACAAAAAAAATAAAAATAAATAAATAACCTGAGATCTATCCATGGAGATTCTTTTTATTTGTTTTAGTCATGTTCGTGATGGGTCACCAAAGCATTTTTGTCATGCTTATGTTAAAGTCTTGGCCAGATTATTTTAACATCTGTCATCTTAATGTCTACTTACCATTTCATAAACTCTACCCTGGGTGTGGGACTCAAACTCATGACCTCAAGATCAAGAGTCAAACACTCCACCAACTGAGCTCTACCATAGGCAGCCCATGAGGGATTTTTTTTTAAAAAAGATTTATTTATTTTAGAGAGAGCACAAGTAGGCAAAGGGTACAGGGAAGGGGAGGGGAGAAAAATCCTCAAGCAGACTCCCTGCTGAGCACAGAGCCCCAACATGGGGCTGCGATCATGACCTGAGCTGACATCAAGAGTTAGATGCTTAACTGACTGAGCCACCCTGGTACCCCCCCCCCCTTTTTTTTTTTAAGATTTATTTATTCGGTGGGGATCCCTGGGTGGCTCAGCGGTTTAGTGCCTGCCTTTGGCCCAGGGTACAATCCTGGAGGCCCCGGGATTGAGTCCCATGGCAGGCTCCCGGCATGGAGCCTGCTTCTCCCTCCTCCTGTGTCTCTGCCTCTCTCTCTCTCTCTGTCTAAAATAAATTAAAATAAATGAGAGAGAGAGAGAGAGAGAGAGAGAGAGAGAGAGAGAGAGAGAGGTGCAGACACATAGGCAGAGTCTGGAGAAGCAGGCTCCTTGCAAAGAGCCCGATGTGGGACTCCCTGGATGTGGGACTCCCTGAGCCCAGGGCAGCCACCCAACTGCTGAGCCACCCAGGTGTCCCAAGAGACTCTTAACTATGGGAAACAAATCAAGGTTTATAGGAGGGGAGGTTACTGGGGGGTAGGATAACTGGATGATGGTCATTAAGGAGGATACTTGAAGTAATGATTAAGTGAAAAAAATATATGTTAAGTGGCTAAATTTAAATAAATAAATTGAAACCTGGACATTTAAAAATTATGTTATGGATCTTATTTAAACCTTTGGGATGGCCCAGGTGGCTCAGCGGTTTAGCACCGCCTTCAGCCCAGGGTGTGATACTGGAGACTCGGGATCAAGTCCCATGTTGGGCTCTCTGCATGGAGCCTGCTTCTCCCTCTGCCATTGTCTCTGCTTCTCTCTCTTTCTCTCTTCTCTGGTCATTAAATAAATAAATAAATAAATAAATAAATAAATAAATAAATCTATCTTTTAGAAAAAATAAACCTTTGATTTTACTGACTGTTTCAGTTACCTCTCTAGCAGAAGTGTTAAAAGTTAATGTCCAGTGGTGTTAAAAGTCAGGTGCCCTCCCCCATTCCCTAATATCCAGTGGGAGGAGCTCCTCATTGCTGTGGGATGGGAATGGGAGTTAAAGCTCCCACAAGGTGGGACTATTCATTTCTAGTGGGCCTCTTCAATAACCTTCCTCTTGATACCCTGGTGGATTGTTGGGGGTTTCCTACCAATCTTATGAGAATGGAAACCTCAGGCTCCCCACTTGACCTTTGCTGGAGTAGTGGTGTTGGGCCTCTTTTTCCTCTGGTGTTTGAATGGAGTGATTATTGTCTAATAAAAAAAGTCTCCGGGCAGCCTGGGTGGCTCAGCAGTTTAGCACCGCCTTCAGCCCAGGGCAGGATCACATGCCTGATCACGTGGGCTGAAGGCATGATCCTGGAGACCTGGGACCAAGTCTTGCGTAGGGCTCCCTGCATGGAGCCTGCCTTGCTTCTCTCTGCATGTGTTTCTGCCTCTCTCTGTCTCTCATGAGTAAATAAATAAAAATCTTAAAAAAAAAAAGTTTCCTGTCTTGTTAGGCTTCCACTTTCCTCCTGGCCTTTTGTTTAGAGAGCAAGGTTCTATTGGCTTGCCTTTTCTTTTTCTTTTTCTTTCTTTCTTTTGTTTTTTTGTCTATACCCATTGGCATTTCTGGGTTGCTGGCTTCTCTAGCTCCAAGACTAGGATTTATGAGAAAAAGAAAACCCATAAAAACTAGGGAACCCACTGTGTCTTTCTTTGGATCGAGCTCTCTGGCTTTTGCCAACTTTCAGAGTCTTCAGATTTGTTTTATATGTGATAGCCAGGGTTTTTAGTTGTACTTATTTATTAGTAGGAGGAATGGGAAAAGGTATTTCCACTCTTACCTTCCTGAAAGCTTATGTCCTCATTTTCTTTTAGGAACAGTGGAGTACAAATGTCTTCAGATACTAGTAGTAAATAGAAAATGCATTCTTTTTTCTTTTTACTAATTCATTCACAGTTTTTTTATGCTGAGCCTTAGTTGTATATAATGAAATTTCACTTTTTTTTTTCCTCTTTCTTGCAGATTCTGACGCTCATAGTACCACCTCAAGTGCCTCCCCAGCTCAATCTCCTTGTTATAGTAACCAGTCAGATGATGGCTCAGACACAGAGATGGCCTCTGGCTCTAACAGAACGCCGGTTTTTTCCTTTTTAGATCTCACATACTGGAAAAGGTAAAAGCAACAGAAAATCTCTAACCAGCAAACCTTCTTAATTACAGGCAATGGTTTCCCACTTCCTTAGCAACTAAATGGCATTTGGCAAACAGCTGGTAGCACACATGGTTGGAGGTGGATTAAGCAAGAATTGAGCTGAGAGTTGGGATTTTGTGTGCTTTTCCTATTAAAATTTGTTTAAAATAAAAATCATGTTAGGGAACCTAAATTTTCCTGTAACAGAGTTATACTATTCTGACCAACTCTCGTGCTGAAAAAAAGTAAAAGCTAGAAATATGTATTTTTAAGTCTTTAAAAAATAGCATTGTTAAATCAGTGAGTAAATTAATAAGGAATAATCAGAGGCCAAAATGCTAAGTAAATGTAGGATCCCAAAGTCAAAAAAGAGAATAGACTAGCAAGGACAATATTCAAAGAGAAAGTGGTTAAGGATCTCCTATTTGACAGACTTGGGAAGACTAATTAACAAAAGCGAGATAATAAGCATTTATCTTATGGTAGAGAAAATTCACCCATAGATGACTCCTTATAGAATGAAACTGTGGAACATGAAAAACAACATAGATCTTTAAGCAGTGAGAAAATACAGTTTTTTCAAAGGAACAACAAACATACAAAGCTGACTTCTCAGCATGAACAAAGGAAGCCAAAGTACAATAGGTTAATATCTCCAGTGGGCCAGGAGATAATAACGTTCAATCTAGAATTATATATATGTAGCAGAAGTATCCTTCGTGTGGGGCCCCTGGCTGAATCAGTTGGAAGAGCATGTGACTCGATGTTGAAGTTGTGAGTTTGAGCCCCATTTTGGGTGTAGAGATTATTTAAAATAAATAAACCTTTAAAAATTGTCTTTTATGAACAAGGGCATTTTGACAAGGAAAAATTTTGAGAATTTGTTGCCAACGTGACCCTAAATAACAAAGTTCTACAGGCAGAAAAAGAGATCCTACTTTGAAATTCTGAGAATAGGGATCCCTGGGTGGCGCAGCGGTTTGGCGCCTGCCTTTGGCCCAGGGCGTGATCCTGGAGACCCGGGATCGAATCCCACATCGGGCTCCCGGTGCATGGAGCCTGCTTCTCCCTCTGCCTGTGTTTCTGCCTCTCTCTCTGTGTGTGTGACTATCATAAATAAATAAAAATTAAAAAAAATAATTCTGAGAATAGATAAAGTAGCAAACATTTAGGTAAATTTAAACAAACACTGCTTGAGATAACAATAGTTGTGGGAGTAAAAGAAAACAATAGTTGTGGGAGTAAAAGAATTAGAAGACAATAACATATAAGTCAAAGCAATAAAAGTGATAAGAGTTAAGATATCCTAACATTCTTTGCATTAAGAATAAATAGATTGAGGGATCCCTGGGTGGCGCAGTGGTTTGGTGCCTGCCTTTGGCCCAGGGTGCGATCCTGGAGACCTGGGATCGAATCCCACATCGGGCTCCCGGGTGCATGGAGCTTGCTTCTCCCTCTGCCTGTGTCTCTGCCTCTCTCTCTCTCTGTGGCTATCATAAATTAAAAAAAAATAAATAAATAAATAGATTGAATAACTTTTTTTTTTTTTAAGATTTTATTTATTCATGAGAGACACAGAGAGAGAGAAGCAGGCTCCATGCAGAGAGCCCGATGTGGAATTTGATCCTGGGACTCCAGGATCATGCCCTGGGCCAAAGGCAGGCACTCAACCACTGAGCCACCCAGGCGTCCCTAGATTGAATAACTTTGGGTGGGACTTGATTAACTATGTCACCACTAAAAGGATTAAAAAAGTGAAAAATCTCCAGAGTCAAGAAGAGGAGGGCAGAAAGAGTTTAAATATACCTAAATGTATCTAGCAAAACAAGATGAAAATAGAAAATCTTTATATATTTATAAATTAAGAAACCATGAGTCCAAGAAGAAAGTATAATATAAATGAGAAGATCTTTATAACTAACTGAAAAATACCACAAATCAAAACATACGGTCAAGGGGTGCCTGGATGGCTCAGTCATTTAAGCTTCTGCCTTTGGCCTGGGTCGTGATCCCAGAGTCCTGGGATCAAGCCCCATGTCAGGTTCCCAGCTCATGCTCTCTCTTGCTCGCTCACTCAAATAAATAATAAATAAAACCTTAAAAAAGAGAACATATGGTATGAAGTTTAAAAGAGTTGGAGGAAAAGTTAATGCCTTTAATGCTTAGAAAAGAAAGACTAAAAATAAATGAAGTGATACGTATCCAATTTAAAAATTAGTGAAGCTTAATACGAAGAAAAATAAAAGCAAGGAAATCTTGGGATCCCTGGGTGGCGCAGCGGTTTGGCGCTTGCCTTGGGCCCAGGGCGCGATCCTGGAGACCTAGGATCGAATCCCACGTCGGGCTGCTGGTGCATGGAGCCTGCTTCTCTCTCTCTGTGTGTGACTATCATAAATGAAAAATAAAAAATAAAAAATAAAAAAAAAAGCAAGGAAATCTTAAGGATCTGAGTAGAAACAAATGGAGTAGAAAACCAGTATGCAGTGAATAGGATCAGTAAAAATAAGAGTTGGATCTTGAAAAAGACCTGATCAAAAAGACTACTAGAGATGAAGCAGAAATCAAGAGATAGTACACATAAAATATCTCAGATAACAACAGGGAGATTTAGCTCTAAATAAATTTAAAAGACAGTAGTACATTATAAACAACCATATACCAACAGATCTGAACATATAGGTGGAATGGATACATTAGTAGAAAAAGATATTTTATCAAAACTGTCTCAAGAAAAAAATAGAAAATCTGCATAGTCTTATAATAAGTTGATTCACTGGTCAGTCTTCCCTCTAAAAACCCATTTAGGCAAGTTCTGCCAAACATTCCAGAAACAAATGATTCTTGCATTGGCTTTTTCAGATTATGAGTAAAAGAGCAGAGGCCCCAAGTATTCTATGAGGCTAACATAACTTTGATACTAAAATTAAAAATCAACTGATAATAAAGTTGCCATGTTGACAGTTTGTAAAGAAAGGGGGAAATGCCTATGATTTTTTTTTTTTTGGATTTAATTTTTATTTATTTGACACAGAAAGCACAAGCAGGAGGAGCAGCAGAGGGAGAGGGAGAAGTTAGGCTCCCCACTGAGCAGAGAACCCAATGTAGGACTTGATCCCAGGACCTTGGGATCATGACCTGCGCTGAAGGCAGACACTTAACCTACTGAGCCACCCAGACGCCCCCAGATGCCTACTATCTTAGCAGTACTTTAAAGATGTTTGACAAATCTGAATGTTCATCAGGGTTTAAGATAAAACCCTTATTAGTAAATAGGAATAGAAAGGAACCACATTGATGAATAACTGGCATTTTTGGGTAAACACAAACATGTTTCCATTTTATATCCCAGCAACAGAACCTATAAAAAACCTTTAGGCATGCGTTAACTTGTATGGCATGTTTATAATAGCAGAAGTTGTCCCATCCAAAGGAGAGTGGATAAATAAATTATGGTATATTCACTTGATAGAATATGATACATAAAATGAAATAGAAGCCCTAACAATAGGTATGAACCTCAATTAATGTTGAGCAAAAAAAAATTGCAGGATAGAGTGTGACTCCATATATGTGTTGTTTTTTTAATTAATTGGACATAACCAAGCAATATATATAGAGATGCAGACGTGGTAATAAAACCATGAAGTGTAAAGAAAAAAGTTATGATAGGCTTAAAATTAAGAGGAGAGAATGAGATGGGGTGGGGTGGAATTGGAGAGGGGCATAGAGGGGAATTTCATAGGAAAAGGTTCTTTTTTTTCCCTTATATGTGGTCCATGGTGTTTTGTTGTACTCTTGTTGTTTTTTTTTTTTTTTCTTTGGGAGGGTTCTTTTCTTTTTTTTCTTTTCTTTTTGTACTCTTGTTTTTTAAGCTGTGGTGTATATTTGATTATATATATTTGCCAGTTGTATCAGCCTGTTTATGATGGCTGGGTTTTTTTTTCAAGAGTTACTGATTTTGGGCAGCCCTGGTGGCTCAGCGGTTTAGCGCCGCCTGCAGCTCAGGGCGTGATCCTGGGAACCCGGGATCGAGTCCCACATCGGGCTCCCTGCATGGAGCCTGCTTCTCCCTCTGCCTGTGTCTCTGCCTCTCTCTCTCCTCTCTGTGTATTCTCATGAATAAATAAAATCTTAAAAAAAAAAAAAAGTTACTGATTTTTAGAGGAAACAGTTTATAACTTTAGGAGCCGTTTCTGAAACTTATCTCAGAATGACCCCTGTCCCCTTTAATACTTGGTAAGATTCCAGTGTGGGATTTAAGGGACCTGGGTAATTCCTATAACTTAGCTAATTGGGGGCCTTTCTAGGAGCCTTTCATTTGAAATGTGGTAAGACCAGAGAAGTGAACCCTTTGATCATGTTGTATTGTTATAGTGTTATGGATTTCTCCCCCCTTTTTTTGTTTTCTTGTATTACTAGTTTTCTACCTTATTAATATATTTCTCCCCCACCCCCTTTTTTTTTCTTTTAGACAGAAAATATGTTGTGGAATTATCTATAAAGGCCGTTTTGGGGAAGTCCTCATTGACACACATCTATTCAAGCCTTGCTGCAGCAACAAGAAAGCAGCTGCTGAGAAGCCGGAGGAGCAGGGGCCAGAGCCTCTGCCCATCTCCACTCAGGAGTGGTGACTGAGGTTTAGGTAGAAGGGGAACAAAAATGATTTAAATTTTGGAAAGAAAACAAAGCAACAAAACCCTCCTATTTTTAACTTGGATACATGCTATTCTGCCAAAAGACAATTTCTAGAATAGTTTTGAATGGGTTATTTCTTCTCCAGTTCCACAAACTCTGAAGCCAGTGTCTAGCTTACTGAAAGAAAAAAAGAAGTGTACATAATATTTAAGATGCTGAGTATTTCATAGGAAAGCTGAATGCTGCTGTAAAGTGCTCTTTAAGTCTTTTTTTTTTTTTAATCCCCTTCTAATGAATGAAACTAGGGGAATTTCAGGGGACAGAGATGGGATTTGTTGTATGATAAACGTATGTAGTTTTAGTCTTTCTATATTGAGAAGCAGTGGTTGGGGCATTTTTTAAGACGGCTATCCTTGTTTTCCTTCATGATAATAAATTTGTCATAACTCAGTAACATGGACTTGCCCCTAGAGGTAGTTGTTAATAATTCTGAAAAAATAAGGTCTTGCCAAGGTTCTGATGATTCAAACCTGTACTACTGAATATGAAGCAGGACAGACTAAGCTCTGGCGCAAATACCTTGAAGGAGTAATCTCTAAATATACAGAGAGGTAACCTGACTGTATATGTTGCATCCTGTGTCGCCTCCATATTGATATTTGATAAAAGATTTTTATCTATATTGAAACTTCTAAAGCAGAGTCAAATCTTTGGGGAAATGTCAAGTTTTAGGATGAGCAGTCCTAGATGAATAGTACCAAAGCATTACCACCTGGTAGAGATCACATTCTGTTAAAAAGGTTAAATTATCTTAAAAAAAATGTGCAAGTCTTCAGGATGGCACGCACAAAAAAACAAAGGTTAATGCTTCTTGGGGCACATTTCTTAGAGGGCTTGCCTAGTGTGTAAATAAGTGACTTTTGTTTGTGTTACATGACTGGTGACTTCATCGAAAATCTGCACAATTCAGTTTTAGCTCTGGATTACTTCAGTTGACCTTTGTGAAGGTTTTATCTGTGTAGAGTGGTTGTTTGACTTGTTTTAACCTATTAGGGTTTTGGGTGGTTTCTTTTGTTTTTGTTTTTGGTTTTTTTTTTTTTTTTCACATATTAAAGTAAAATTCTAAAAGAAAAGAGGTGTGTGTTAATGCTGAGTGGGTTGGCTTAGGTTTGGTTTCTTCTAGTCAGGCTTTGTGAACCTTGAGATATTAGACGATACATCCTGAACATGGAGCTCTTCAGTTCTAAAATCTTCATTTGAAAGCCTTTTACTTGAACCCAAACCAAAGTACTCTCATTGCCTCTTTTCTAAACGTTCAGAAAAAACGTATCACCAGATCAGACTTTTCATAATAAGGGAGGATCATTTGCCTACCTTATAATAACATGACTCAGTGCTTATTTTTAAAACTGGATTTTTAAAATTGGATAGTATAAATAACAATAAGGAGTGAGCCACTTTTTATGGGCACCCTATAGTTTTATAGTTCTTAATCTAAACTTAAAATTTTATATTTCTTCCTTATGGCAAAAACTACAAGCCACCATATATGCACAGACTACACAGTGAGTTGGGTTGGCTCTCCCACAGCCGTTGAGGTGTGTTACAAGAGTCCCGGCCATGATCATCTTCCTCCTGTCATTTTGAAATGGTTTGTTTTTTTGTTTTTGCTTTTTGTTTTTGTACATTTTGGCTACAGTATTGGTGGTAGAATATACTATAATATGGATCATCTCTACTTCTGTATTTATTTATTTATTGCTAGACCTCAACCACAGTCTTCTTCATCCCCTTCCACCTCTTTGCCTGTAGGATGTACTGTATGTAGTCATGCACTTTGTATTAATATATTAGAAATCTACAAATCTGTTTTGTACTTTTTATACTGTTGGATACTTATAATCAAAACTTTTACTTAGGGTATTGAATAAATTTAGTCTTACTAGAAAATAAAAGAAGCTGTTCTGTGGCTTTGTTTAAAAGGTGTTCCTAGGTAAGAATGACTAATGTTTTTGGCTTCACAGATACTCAGTTTAACGCCCTTAGTATTATAACAAGCCATGAAGGGAAAAAATCCTCTTTATCAAGAGATGCTTTAAAATAAAGACATTTTGGGGATCCCTGGGTGGCTCAGCGGTTTAGTGTCTGCCTTCGGCTCCAGGTGTGATCCTGGAGTCCTGGGATTGAGTCCCACGTCAGGCTCCCTGCATGGAGCCTGCTTCTCCCTCTGCCTGTGTCTCCGCCTCTCTCTTTCTGTGTCTCTCGTGAATGAAAAAAAAAGATATTTTAACTGATAATACCCAGTAATTAACCTAGTAGATAACATGATTTTATTACTGAAGGACAAATTCTCTAGTAGGTGGTTGATTTCTTTTTTCTCTTCCTTTTTTCCTTTCTCTTCTGCTTTTTAAATTTTATTTTATTATTAACAGTCTAGGGTTTTAATGTCTCTGACACGGTTTTATTATTACTGTCTATGGGCATAGTGGGAATCATAATTGAGACTCTAAAGAAATTATAAAAATTAGTTATAGGGACAGGTGGATTTCAGCACTGGAGTCATACATGGTCTCTGATATCTGGCTCTGCTCCTTTATTAGCCGTTTGAGTCACTTGGCCTTTGTGAGCCTCCAAACTTACGTAAAATGATATACTTTACCGAATTATTTACTTCTTAAAATTATGAGGAATCTATAAAGGGATGTAATCCGTATCAAATTTTTTTTTTTTAATAAGATTTTGAGAGAGGGATCCCTGGGTGGCTTAGCGGTTTAGCGCCGCCTTCAGCCCAGGGCGTGATCCTGGAGAACTGGGATCGAGGCCCACATCAGGCTCCCTGGATGGAGCCTGCTTGTGTCTCTGTCTCTCTGTGTCTCCCATGAATAAATAAATCTTAAAAAAAAAAAAAAAAGATTTTAATAGAGAAAAAAAGCGAGTAGGGGCAGAGGGAGAAGCAGAGATTCCCTGTGAACAGGGATCCCACCATGGGACTGGATCCCAGGATCCTAAAGTCATGACCTGAGCTGAAGGCAAACATTTAACTGACTGAGCCACCCAGGTGCTCCCATATCAAAGTTTTTTGTTTGTTTTTAGGATTTTATTTAGTTGAGAGAGCGAGCAGGCACAAGCAGGGAGGAGAGAGAGAAGGAGAAGCAAACTGAGGAGGGAGCCCAATGTGGGACTCTGTCCCAAGACCCTGGGATCATGACCTGAGCCCAAGGCAGACTTAACAGAATAAACCACCCAGGTGCCCCCTCATATCAAAGTTTTAAAAACAGATGATTAGGTGGGAAAGGTGGCTCCTGTAGGCCAAACTTTCTTTTTTTTCTTTTTTTTTTCCATGGAGGCTCCATGCAGGGAGTCGACGTGGGACTTGATCCCACGTCTCCAGGATCAGGCCCTGGACTGAAAGTGGTGCTAAACTGCTCAGTCACTGGGCTGCCCTAAGCCAGACTTTTTAAATGTTGGGTTTAAATTTGGTTTTGGTATAGTCCAGATGATTTGCCAACACCTAATCTAGTTACTGTGAAGTTATCAAGTTAATCTGAAGTTAAACTCAGGTTGTTGGCAGAACTCATTTCCTGTGGCTTTAGCATGGACACCCCAGATTCCTTAACTGGCTGTAGAGCCCCTAGGTTCCTTGCCACGTGGGTACTCCTGATGTGGCTGCCTCCTGCATCAAGCCAACAGGTCTCCAGAGCCAGTTTGCAAGGTAGGACTCTGAAGCTTCAAGTCCTGCCCACATTCAAATGGAGAGGATTATACAGTGAAAAAACCATGAGGTGGGGTGTGGGGCTCATGAAGGACATCTTAGAGTGTTGTCTGCCATAGCATCTCATTTTTTCTGACTGAATCACTTGAAAGTGGGCCTCTGCCCTACATTACAAGTGCGTTTGCTTTCTGCAGCAAGTAAAAAAAAAAAGTTACCCTACTGTGGGTCAGGCGCTTTTAAACATTGTTTAAACAACTTTGCAAAAAAAGAAAAAAAAAAACTTCTCAGGTAAGTGGATGTGCAAGGAGGTCATTTGTAACTTTGAAATCAATTTTTCAAAAGCCTTTGCTCTTTGAATTGATCCCTGTCCCTGCCATAGCAGTGGTGTTGTCTTCACCTGCATTTGGAGATGGTTACCTTGCTCTGTTTTGAAGGCTGAAAATGAGAGGCAAGTGTCAAAACCTTGCTGAGAGGTTGACTGTTACTTTGTCTAAATTAGTTATCAAGTTTTTTTTTTTTTAATTTATGATAGAGAGAGAGAGAGAGGCAGAGACATAGGCAGAGGGAGAAGCAGGCTCCATGCACCAGGAGCCTGATGTGGGATTCGATCCCGGGTCTCCAGGATCGCGCCCTGGGCCAAAGGCAGGCGCCAAACCGCTGCGCCACCCAGGGATCCCTCAAGTTTTGTTTCTTAATTTAGATGTGCCTACTAATATACTGTCTTTTTTGTAGAAAACAGTCTTCAGGAGGGTTAGTGAAATAACTGGATATTCTAAAAATAGACAAAGGTAGCCAGACTCACTGAGCCAGACTCACTGCTCTGCAGTGAAGGATGGAAGATGCCCAGGGAGTCTCCTAATTCAGTGTCCCTGTAACAGTTTCCTAATGCTCCAGATTTAGCATTGTGGTACTCTGGCAGCCATTCTTATGTGATGTTCAGTGAACTGGGAAGCAGGGAAAAAGCCAAATTGGATCAAAGATAGTTTCACAGGCTTATGTTCTCAAAGAAAGGGATCTGAGGGTTCTAACAGTTTCTCGAGCTGTGGAGTTTGGTTACTCATTGTGATCATGAGAATGCTTTGGGTTTCAGATATCTTAACACCCTGGTTAGAAACTGCTAGTTATTGTATGTTGAGTTAGGGGGTCTTGGACATACTTAGTTTCAGGCTTCAGTGTAAAAGAGCTTAATCTTTCAGTTTAGAGAACTGAAAAGATTTTGGCAAAGCCCGTCCTTTCTGTGCTAGAAAGGGGGAAAAATAATTAGCTCCATTTTAGGACTTCAGTTCTCTATATTCAGCTTATATTAGCTTTAACATGGTCTGGGGTTTTTGGTTTTGGGTTTGAGTTTGGTTTTTTTTTGTAATTATAGTAAAGAGTCATTGTTTTAAATCTCCACAATTAAGACTCCAAAATCTCAAGATTATTCAGTAAATTATCAGGATTAAAATAGGAACTTGAATAATTATGTGCCCCCCCCCAATACACACACATGTTTTTAAGGTAACAAGTGTATTCTTTGCCTCCAGCCACCTTTACAGTCCACTCCAGTGTTGTTGATTGTCCCCACCACTCCAGGGATCACTGGTGGCTTTCTCATGGGGAATTCCAAAGCCCTCAGTTTTTTCATCCAGCCTTTCAGCAGCACTTGATATAAATGGATAGTATCTTTCTTCAAAAATTTTTGTCTGATAACACTGCAGCTTCTAAGCTTCCTTCCTCAGATGCTCCCTGGCCAGAGTCATCTTCAGTCCTCTTTCTCAACCATCTCTGATTCCCACCAGCCCAGATACCACCTAAATTATGCTGGCATCTTTCGAGTCTACAGAGCTTTCTATCAAGGTGCTAAACTGTTTTCTACAAGGTGCTAGCAGGGAATAGATAACTGAAGATTATTTATTCATGAGAGAGAGAGAGGCAGAGACACAGGCAGAGGAAGAAGCAGGCTCCATGCAGGGAGCATGATGTGGGACTCCATACAGGGACTCCAGGATCACGCCCTGGGCCGAAGGCAGGCGCTTAACCACTGAGCCACCCAGGGATCCCCAAGGAAAGTTGATTAAAGGTATTTTACAAAGCTGTGCACAGGATGTAGGGAAACCCCAAAGAATGCACTTCTCAGGCCTGGTAACACTGGGACTAGTAACAGGATTTTGTTCCCACCTTTAGATCTGAAGGTTGATAGGGAGTGGTTAATGGAACCAGGAGACCGGCTCTGTAGAAAGGGTGGGAGACTGTGGGAAGCAGCAGGAAATACATACCTGTCATTTTCCAGATTGACCACCTCTATCATTAGTACCTTCACATGTACTCTTGGTCCCCTTTGACCCATTTCCCCACCATCTTCTAGCTAGACATCCCCTACTCACCCTTTAGGTTTCCTCTCAGGTACCACTTGGGGAAGCCTTCCAGAGCAGCCACTGTACCCCCCATTACACAATTACATGCTGAGTAGGTTCCATGAAAGCTGGAAATGTCTTTTCTCACCACTATGATGCCGAGAGTCTGGTACAGTGATTACTAATATGTGAATAGGAGCATAGTATATATTGATGATGATTTTGTATTTTCAGAAGTTCATAGAAGAGTTGAACTTATGCTAATGGTCTTGATGAATATCAAGAATTTAAAAGTTGAAAAAAAAGTTGAAAGGAATATAAAAGTTTAAAGGGCAGTACAACAGTATAACTTCCTCTTAGATCCACCAACTGTTAACATTTTGCCACATGTACTGTATCTAATTGTTTTTGCTGAATCATTTGAAAGTAAGTTGTGACAAAATGGCACTTTGTCCCTGAAAAGCATTCATCTTGGAATAAGGATTTCCTACATAAAATCACAGTGCCATTGCCATACCTGAGATAGTTAACAGCTAATATAATCTGTATGAAATAAATTGCCCCTATTATCCCAAAGGGCCTTTTAAAACCTTTTCCTTGTGGCTCAGTTGGTTAAGCGCTCTTGATTTCAGCTCAGGTCACAATCTCAGGGTTGGGCTCCGCTCACTGCAGAGTCTGCTTGAGATTTTCTCTCCTCCCTCTGCCTGCCACCACCCATGTACTCAAATAAATAAATAAAAATCTTTAAAACTTCTTCATTAGGGTTTTTGCATACATTTAGTCTGGAATAGCCCTCCCTGCCTTTCCCCCATGACATTGAACTTTTTGGTGTCTTAAGTCCATTGTACAATGTCCCATATCCTGGATTTTTTCTGGTTTTCTTAGTAGATTTTATACTTTTTGG